TCAGGGCAGCTCTTAATTTGTGCTTTAATTAAATCACATGACAGTTGCTGAGACCAGGTCTCCGGGTCTACACACCTGCTCTGATCATTAAGGCTAGGTTCACACCTATGCAGGCTGTGTTTGAGCTGTTTCTGCATTGCGTTTTTGCACTTGAATTTTTGACGTGTGTTTGATGCATTTTTTTTCTTTCATTTTTTTTTTTTTCATGTTGTTAGGCAGATTTAAAATGCATCAAAAGTGCAGCAAAAACGCAATACATGCTTTTCTGAAGCATTTCCATTGAAGTCTATAGAACCAAAAACACAACTTTTTGAGTTAAAAAAAAGTCTTTCCAAAAAACGCACCGGGTGAAAACGCACAGGTGTGAACATGTCCCATAGGAAATCATGCTAAATGGACTGTACTGCGTTTCTGCTTAGGTGTGAACGTTGGGTAAAAGGAACTCCCTCTCCACCTTCTGTAATATTAAATTGGTTTATATCAAGGAGAATGCAATGGAAGAGGCTGGAACATGCTAAGGTGGCACCCAGGGGCGGACTGACAACTCATGGGGCCCCCGGGCAATAGGGGATCATGGGGCCCGTGTCCTTGCCCAAACTCAAAAAAGCCTATGAAAAAGGTACCAGGGGCGTCTCATGGGGCCCCCTACCGACCCTGGGCCCTCGGGCAGTGCCCGAGTTTCCAAATGGTCAGTCCGCCCCTGGTGGCACCTAACTCTTAAAACATGCAGGCAGGGAGGAACAGAGTCAGAAATGATGACAAAGAGACCTTACTGTAGGGGTATCCATGCATTTTGCAGAAACGCACAGCAGTTCATTTATTATGATTTCCTATGGGACACATTCACATGTCCGCCTTTTCCCCCAGTGTGTTTTACGGAAAGGGTCAGGGACTTTAGGCGGAAAAATATTGCTTTTTTGGTTCAATAGACTACAATGGAGATGCTGCAGAAATGCATGTAGTGAGTTTTTGATGCATTTTGACACTTTTTTATGCATTTTTGATACGTTTTAATCTGCCCAGCAACAAGTTGGAAAAAAAATGCATCAAAAATGCATGTGCAAAAACGCAAAAGGCACCGCAAAAGGCACCGCAGAACGAATCAAACACAAACTACACAGGTGTGAACTTAGCCTTAGATGGACTGTTTGGAAAAAAAAAAAAAAAGAAAGGTTGCAGTTCCTGTCCATGTGAACATCATACTTAAAGTGATTATAAATCCTTTTTTTTTTTTCCTTTTCTTTTGCTCTACCCATTTGTTCTTTGCAGTAATGTGCACTAAAGCCCATGTGTAACTGAATACTGCCATGCATGTTAATGCGCAATCATTCATGGCTATCACCTACTTGGTAGCAGATCCTCTCTTACACCTCTGACTTGGGGGGCCCTGTTAGTGTGAATAGAAGGCGTAGGAGTGCAGAGTGGTACAAGTGCATGTAAGGCGCGGTTCACACCCTATGCAGTTTGCGTTTGATCTGTTTCTGCACTGTTTTTTGCACGTGTTTTTGACGCATTTTTTTATGTCTTCTGCGCTTTTTTTTTTCAACTTGTTGCTGGGTAGATTAAAACGCATCAAACACGTGCAAAAACCGCACTACATGCTTTTTTGCAGCATCTCCATTGACGTCTATAGAGCAAAAACGTTTTGCATTTAAGAGTCCCTGACCCTTTCCAAAAACCGCACCAGGTGAAAACGTGGAAGTGTGAACCTGTCCCATAGGAAATCATGTTAAATGCACTGTACAGCCGATCTCCTCCACTCCTCCTACCACTCCATCCCCCACAGCCACTTCCCCCTGTACCACTATCCCCTCCCTCCTAGATTGTAAGCTCGAAAGAGGAGGGCCCTCGAACCCCTCGTGTATTGTTTTGTTACTGTATTGTCTCATGTACTGTCCCCCACTATAATGTACAGAGCTGAGCAAACCTTTCTGGCGCTATATACTGTATAATAATAATAATAGTGTGTTTCTGCAAAATGCTTAGGTGTGAACCTGGACTAAGTCTTGCTAGCAGCAGAGCAGGTGTCCATGCTGGGCAGGAGAAGTCATCAGTGGTCTTCAGTAAAGCAGGCGGGGGCTGGTAGACAGCTGGTGGGCAGCAGACTGAAGTGGACTGGTACTAGTGACAGTGAGCAAGCAAGGCATATACTGGTAGCAGACTGTAGATCAGCAGGCACAGCAGGATAGCAGACAGGTACAGGTGACAGCAGAATCAGGCAGGCCAGGTCATACGCTGCAGAACGGATCAGGTACAGAGGCACAGGCGAGAGCGTGATCAGGGCACAAGCCGCAGGCATAGTTCAGAGGACAGTCAGGACAAGCTGGTTCAGCAACTGGAAAATAGGAACACAGGAGTCTGAAGACAAAACAGCATTGCTCCTGAGCACTGGCACATTTTATTTATTTATTATAGGTACTTATATAGTGCTGTTAATTGTATGCAGTGCTTTACATATATATTGTACATTCACATCAGTCCCTAACCCTCAAGGAGCGTACAATCTAAGGTCCCTAACTCACATTCATACATACACATACTAGGGCCAGTTTAGACAGGAACCAATTCACCTACCAGCATGTCTTTGGAGTGTGGGAGGAAACCGGAGTACCCAGAGGAAACCCACGCAGGCACAGGGAGAACATGCAAACGCCAGGCAGGTGGTGCCGTAGTGGGGATTCGAACCAACGACCCTAGTACTGCCAGGCAGAAGTGCTATTATAAATAGCTCATTTGGTGCCAGCATCTGTCATGAGTGCATGTGAGCATGCTGATGTGCACGTCTACGCACATGAGTACAAGCACCATTGTGCGCGCGAGCATGTGCATGACCATGTGCCCAATTCCAACAAGAAGGAACATGGATTAACTTGTGAAGATACACAAAAGTCTGCCCAGAGGAGCCATCTTGTCTACTGGCATGCCCTTCCTGACAGTGGCGTGCAGTCTGACTGTGAGATCACCAAAGGACAGATTTGTGAACAGAACTTGATTTAGTGAACATGAGGGCAGAGAGTTTGCAGAAATGCATGTAGTGCATTTTTGATGCATTTTGACACTTTTTTTTATGCTTTTTTGATACGTTTTAATCTGACCAGCAACAAATTGGAAAAAAAATGCATAAAAACACATGTGCTAAAATGCAAAACGCTCCACAAAAAGCACTGCAGAACAGATCAAATGCAAACTGTATAGGTGTGAACCAAGCCTTAGATGGACTGCCTGTTTAAAAAAAAAGAAAGGTTGCAGTTTCTGTCCATGTGAACATCGTACTTAAAGTGATTGTAAACCCTCACCTTATAAAACAAGCCAATTTGTTTAAAATAGAAATGGAAGGAAAAACATTTGTGTATAGATATAAAAAAAATATTGTAAAAACTTTTTTTTTCTCCTTTTTTATAAGTGATTACATTCCCCCTGGTCTCAGTTGCAAAAGAGCTAGGGAAAGAGAAACAGCAGTACACTGATCTTCCCAGTGGCTGAGGGGGGGGGGCAACGCTTGTCAGGACAAGTCTGATCATTGAAGGAGAGCAGACTGAGTTCCCAGCACAGCTAGAGAACTGACCACAGTGTGTTCTCCTGCTTAGTGTGGTCAGTTTTTAATAGGAAAGCAGAGGGACTGGCAGGAACACCAGGGATTTCACACAAAAGGAAGCAATACAAAGAGAACAGGATACTTTTTCATACAAGTACATGGCACAGCAGGCACATATCAGGAATATGAAATGTTGGGTTTACATATGCTATAAGTAGACAAACTTTTTTTGGGTAGGGTAAGGGAGGGTTGTAACTCCTGTCAGTTTTTTGCCATCTGTATCTCACTGGGGAGATTTCCCATCACTTCCTGTCCCATACCCAAAACGGGAAGTGAGAGGAAATCCTGGTATGTCACCAGGGTCTCCAGAACTAATGTGCAAAGAAACAAACAGAGGGCGCACAGGTCTAGTGCATTAACTTCTAAAGATGAAATGTATTGAATAAAAAGTAGTATACTCAGAAAATAATAAAATCAAGAGGCACATCACAAAAAAAGACAGCATGGTCCAATCTCCCTAGATGGTGTGTGTGTGTGTGTAGGCCCACCTGATGACGGAGAGGGTGACACCCACAAATACTATATAGCACAATACATGGTAAAATGCAAATAAATTAAGGAATAGTACAAATGCAACAGAATAAATAAAATACCATAAAGTATCGCAAATCACATAGATTACTATATCTAACCTGCTCACATGATGCTCCGTGACGTGTCATACTATATAATGCGATGTAGCGTGTCATTTCACAATCTTCTATAGAGGCTAATAATAGCTGTAGCTTAAACGTATATGTGTGTATATAAACAAATACATGGATATATAAAGAAGGAGATAGATGGGCCAGTGCACCGTAATCAATCATGGCGTATCTGTAGACACAATGGTACAATACAAACATACCCTGATATGTGTAATGTATATCCAACTTTACTGACATGTGGAGGGGGGGTGGGAGTGGATCACAAATGAGCAATGTGGCTTTAGGTGTAACTAGCAGATGCAGAAAGGCTTGGATGGATGATTAAACAGCCTGGAATGCATCTGTGGGTATGTGTGAAATCTCTGTTTCTGTCAGTCCCTCTGCTTTCCTATTAAAAACTGACCGCACTAGGCATGAAAGTAATGTGTGTTCAATTTTCTAGCTGTGCTGGGAACACAGCCTGATCCCAGTAGATCAGTTTTTGAAATACTCAGACCAGTCCATCGGGCCCAACAACCATGCCACGTTCAAAGTCACTTAAATCTCCTAAATGCATTGAGTTGCTGCCATGTGATTAGCCGATTAGCAGTTTGTGTTACCAAGCAAGGGAACAGGTGTACATAATAAAGTGGCCGGTGAGTGTGTGTATATGTATGCATGTATGCATATACACACACACATACCGTATTTTTCGCTCCATAAGACGCACCTAGGTTTTAGAGGAGAAAAACAAGAAAAAAAATATTGTGAACCAATGGACTGCAGACATAGTACAGAAAATGACCATAGACTGCGGACACAGTACAAGAGATGACCAGATCCTGCGGACACAGTACAAGAGATGACCAGAGACTGCGGACATAGTACAAGAGATGACCAGAGACTGCGGACACAGTACAGAGGATGACCAGAGACTGCAGACACAGTACAGTACAGGGACTGACCAGAGACTGTGGACATAGTACAGGGAATGACCAGAGACTGCAGACAGTACAGGAGATGACCAGAGACTGCAGACAATACAGGGGATGATCAGAGACTGCGGACACAGTACAGGGGATGACAGGACTGTGGACAGGATGACCAGAGACTGACTGTGTACAGGGAATGACCAGTACAGAAGATGACCAGAGACTGCGGACATAGTACAGGGAATGACCAGAGACTGCGGACATAGAGGGAATGACAGTACAGGAGATGACCAGAGACTGCAGACAATACAGGGGATGATCAGAGAATGCAGACAGTACAGGAGATGACCAGAGACTGCGGACCTTTAGGGAGGGAGGGGGAGCGGGTACCTGAATTTGACAGGTACCCGCTCACACTTCAGCAGAGTTGTCCTCCCTTTACTGTGGGCACCTGGTTGTGACAGCCGGGTGCCCACTGCGCATGCGTGAGAAGTGCTGCACTTTGTGAATGGCCCGGCATCTTCTGGGACCTGTCATGTGTCCCAGAAGACGCCGGACCATTTACAAAGCGCAGCGGTTCTCGCACATGCGCAGTGGGCTCCCTGCTGTCACAGATACCGGTGTGGGAAGAAGCTGGCACGGGAAAACTGCACAGCGCTGGATCGAGGAACAGGTAAGGTCCTGCATCAGAGAACAGCTGAGTGGCCGGCCCGATATTCTGACATGGTGGCGGCGGAAATACCGGACCGGCCGCTTTATATTCGCTCCATAAGACGCACTGACATTTTCCCCCCTTTTTTTGGGGGAAAAAAGTGCGTTTTATGGAGCGAAAAAATACGGTATATATATAAATAAATAATAAAAATATATATATATGTGTGTGTGTATGCATACAGGTGTACCTCGATTTACGTATTTAATGTGTTTCTCCGGGATGTTTCGTATTGCGAAAAATTTGTAAACCGAAACGCAGTTTCCCAAAAGGAATGTATTGAAAACCAATTAATCCATTCCGGAGGTCAGAAAAAAGTTTTTTAAAAAGTTGCTGTCACTATAGGTCAGTGCCGGTTTTTAAGTGCAATTACCGGCTTTTTTTTTTTCTTCACTATGGCTCAGAGAATCAGCTTTCACTTTCCCCCCAGCTTAAAAAAAAAAAAAAGTTTCCTTTTAGTTTGTTTCTCGAGATAAAAGAAACAAAGTATCCTGTAGCTCCGGGGAAAGTGACAGCTAATTCTGTGAGCTATAGTGAAGAAAAAAAAAAGCCGGCAATTGCATTTAAAAATGGCACTGACATACACTTCGTTTTGCGAAAAAAATTAGTAAACCGAGACATTATTTTCAATGGATCTTCATTCGTAAACTGAAAATTCCGTTAACCGAGGCGTTCGCAAACCAAGGTAAGCGTGTGTGTGTTTGTGTATATATATATATATATATATATATATATATATATATATACACACACACACAATTTAACAGAATTTTCACACACACTCACACAAATGTTGTACCTTTCATTTCTATTTTAAACTGTGTGGGTTGTTCTCCAAGCTGAGGGTTTACATACACCTTAACCTAGTTATAATGTCCTTCATTTGCAAGAGTTTTCCTGCTATAACTGCCAATAAAACATCTCGTGTTGTTGCTTTTGCCCTAATCAAAAGAGTTAATTAGCCGCAGGAAGTAGCAAAATATTAGTAAGCTAACATCGGTGTTGGCAAGACAAAGTCCCAAGAGAGATTGACTAATGAGCTCATTGCCAACTGTAAATCAGAACCGCCGGGGGAATAGGTACGTGCGTCAGGCAGGACCTGTGCCTCCTCTTTTTACATCTAACCCAATGACAGCCGGTCCACACGAAAGAAACCCGAAGATTCCCTATTGTTAAAAACAATATGTACTATGCTGAAAGGACCCCGTCTGGGGAATGTCACCATCAACAGCGAGTGACAACACCATGTTTGTTGTGACATTGCTTTTTAAAAATGAGACTTCTCCTACATGTGTTTAGCACATTACCCTGCCTCGTGTCTGCAATGGCAGAGTGCAGCTGGTGCGGCCAAGACGTCTTCCTTCCTGACAGCGCTGTCACTGTGTCAGTGCACTGAGATGGATCACAAGTCACAACTGCTCTAAAAATGATACCGAAGATTAAAACTTCAAAGAGCTAATGAACCATAACATGACTGAGCTGCTATTACAGCTATTTATAAACCACTAATAGGCCACGTTGTTCACGTACAAAAGTATCTGATGATGATGAAAACAGGCAATGGGCTGCTTGTAATGATTCACTATGGAGTAACTACAGAATATTCCACTACATGTTAATGTGTTCCCATTCCCACATTATACCTACAAATATATTTAAATATTTCTTACTTTTCTGGGATTTTTTTTTTAAAGCAGGCCTTTGTGCAGACAGCAAGCTACTCAAGCTTGGCACAACCACCTTTCACAGAATGTCTTGTATTGTTTTTTAATAAATACAAAGTGTTCCCTGAGTGGACAAGGTGGAGATTGTAATGTCACCTCTCCAGTCTTTGGCAGCGCACTGCGCATTGCACTGCAAACGCATGCCCATCAGCAAGGTGCATTGAGGTTTCATTCAGAATGAACACATTTCACCATTGTGCATATAAGCGATTGGTGTTGCTTTATTAACGCCCTAGTGTAGAGGACACAATTCGAGCTGGTATCAAAAGTTTTGAGACTAGTATTGTAACACGCCAATAGATGGCAACACATGGCTGCACGCACAGTCACAGGGAGCACCAGCCTTCTTAAGTCAGTGTGCCAAAAGACATCATCCTGTGTACATTGGGAACTGTGCAACTGGTACTATTCTGATCATGTGTGTTACCATGTCTGCTATTTCATCATGAACAGCAAGTTAGAACAAAGTGCAAACATGAAATTCTGTAATGATCAGGGGCGGACTGACCATTTGTAAACTCGGGCACTGCCCGAGGGCCCGGGGTCAGTAGGGGGCCCCATGAGATGCCCCTGGTACCTTTTTCATAGGCGTTTTTGAGTTTGGGCAAGGACACAGGGGCCCCATGATCCCCTATTGCACGGGGGCCCCATGAGTTGTCAGTCCGCCCCTGGTAATGATCCTTGACAAGGAGGACATGTCATCCATGGCACACTGACAGAGTTCTTGGCAGACTTCATTGCGGTGTTCCTTCTGCTCCTGGGTCAGCAGCCTGGGGACGAACTTGGCAGCAATACAGCGTATGTTCAAATCACACATGGAGAATGCCTGGACTGTTCCATATGACACACTGACAATGGCAGCAATGTTGTGGATTGTTCTATGATGATCATCATGCACAAGTTGCTGAATGGTTTCAACCTGTACCGGGGTTGAGCTCATCAAATGTTTTCCTGATCTCTCGTCATCTTCCAGTGATGTTATTCTGTTCTTGAAGCACCTGTACCACTCAAAACACCTGGAACGACTCTTTGCCAAACACCTCTGTGGCAGATTTGCCCAGTTTCATGCAGAATTTCACGTTTGCTCTTTGTCCTAACTTGCTGTCCATGATGAAATAACAGACGTGGTAACGCATTAGGTCAGAATAGCACCAGTTGCACAGCTCCCGATGTACACAGGATGATGTCTTTTGGCACACTGCCTTAGGAATGTCTGTGCTCCCTGTGACTGTGTACAGCCTTGTACTGCAATCTGCTGGTGTGTTACAACACCACCTTGTACATTATGTGAAAATGTGTTTAATCATTTTAAAAAGTTAGTTTGCCTAAAAATGATTATACTGTTCTGCATGAGAACCCCAAAATGGTATTTTTAGACTTTTGTTCATTAGTCAGCCCGTAATAAAAATGCTGCTTGCACAGACTTGATTAGAAGTGGGGAGAGTTGGTAGCAGTTGGGGACATGTCCAGAAGGAAGCAGGCCAAGCCACGATCGGTGAAAGGTTAAACCTCAATATTGGAGGAGAGATCCTGATGGTGGACAGTCCATATTTCTGGAGAATTGTTGGCTATAGGATTTATCTAAGTGCTTAAGACCATTTATAACCTAATGGTCCACATCATCTGGGAAGAGGCTCCCTAATGGTGTCACTTGGTGGTGGAAGAGCACTTTGTTGGACAGGAAGTTGAAGTGTGGGAACACTCTTCATATAATTTGGATTGTGAGCGGACTTTGCTTTAAATTTTGTTCACTTTGGAACTTTGTTTTTCACTTTCTGATATATGTATTAATTTAATTCCTTGGTATATGTGTTGTTATATTCACATACAGGATGCTAATTAAGTACACTTCATATTAATGTGACTTAGCGCTGCTTTTTGTTTTCCTTTTTCTTTTAGCTATTGGTAGCACAATTGTTTAGTGGCTGCTTTTTCTTTTTTTAAACACTCCAGCGCAGATTTTTTTTACTTTTATGTTATAATAAAGTATGTTACCAAAAAATAGCCTTCTATGTCATTTCAAAAGGTATACATTATTTAGGTTAGTGGATTAGTCATAGAATGTTTGTCAAGGTAACTGGTGCCATGTTGCTATGTTTGTCAAACAATAAAAACTTTCAGGTGATTTTTCACTCCATCTGTGATGTCTATTCTTAGCAGGATTACTATGAACAAAACTAGTGTATGTTAGAGAATGTTGGAGGACAACAGTGTTAAGTTACTTTGTTTGCCTTATCAATATTCACATTTTTTTAAAAAATGTCTCTGAATGTTTTTGAAAAATACAAACACACATAACCTGCAGTTTAGGGTATGGCTGTCCAGCAACTCATTATCAATTTGACAATTGCTGTAGTACCTTCGTTCTATAGGTCTGATCATGCTGGGTGCCACTTTTTTTTTTTTATATAGAATAGTATACAATTGGCTAGGCTTAGGGACTTTTTAGGCACTTAAACACAAAATATTATAAAAGTACAATTTTAATAAAAAACATAAAAAGCAAAAAAAAAAAAACAAAACATTTTTTAATACAATTTTATTAAAAACATCATATAAAATCACCAGCTGATGAACCACAAAGGTACAGTATATAGGAGACTATCCTCACATTTACAAGAAACAGCCACATGAAACCCCAAACTTTCTAAAAATGTGAAATGTGTTGGGACTTTATCTACTTACATGTGGTTGTTTCCTGTAGATGTGGGGATGCTCACATTATATACAGTACCTTTGTGATTCATCAGCTGTTGATTTTATATACGTTTTTTTAAAAGTTTTTGCTGTGATGCAGTGGAGCT